GGCAGACGAGCTCCGAGCCAGATCCCATATCAGAGGATGAAGAGAGCACATCCAGCCAGTCACAGTCAGAGAAACAGGATTACACCAATATCTTTAAACAACAGCACAGCTGATATTTCTCTCTAGGATGGAGTCACAGCCAAACAGGAACAGACGAGGCAAAGCTACTATGAGAAAAAGCAGAGAGAGCAAAACGTTAGAGATTGAACTAATAGATTCTGCAGAGTGGGAGAATCGAGATAGAATGAAGCAGAATGATGAAATCGGGGTCCCTATGTCCTGCAGAAGTCTAAGCTTATAGCAGCATAACTATAGAGATAGCTCAGGATAAATAAAATCAAAGAAGTGGCCTACCATGACTATAAAGTTGATTCCAGAGGGAAATTTGTCCTCTGCATTTGTCTCTAACTATGTAGGGGTGGTGATAGCCATGCCAGTCCAAGGACCGACTGCAGCTGTACTGTAAGGTGCCTTGGTCAAGGTCAATGACCAGCGTACCTCACATGTAACAACCATACCATGCATATTGCTTTAGGTTAATAAACTATATTAATTAGGCTATGTGTACTTCCAAAAAAAAGAATTACGCCATCCCCCTTCTTTCTTTCTTTTTTTTTTTTTTTTTTTACAACTAGACTACTGAATGATAATATCAACTTTCACTTGTCAGTTATGTGCTACAGATGAATGTCTTATAATGTTTACGTTTAAGCTCTTGTAGCTTCTGAGCTTCTAAGTTTGGCATGCTTTTGTACATATTTGCACGCTCAAATAACAAAGAAATAAAAACTAGATTTAATTTGCAATTACTTCAAATTTGCTTGCTAGTTTACTCTGTATAACAAAGCTTTTTCAGATTAAATGAATAGCTGCCAGACTTTTCTACAGGGACCATGGATAACTGCAGAGCTGTGGGAGAGAATGAGGTGGACTGCCTGGGTGACTTTGAAAAAAAAAAATAAGGAGGTGGGCAAATGTGACAGTGTCTATGTAGGTGTTGGAAAGAGGACAGAAAGCACAGTGAATGTAGGCTGGTAAGGCATTCCGAAGCTGAACAGGAAACTGATTCATTGGGAACCTGAAACTGACGGACCAGCAGAGCGTGAGTTATATCCTAGCAACACTGCATACTTGTTTTCAGAGAAACTCTGCAAGTAAGACAAACACAGAGCCCCATTTATTGAACAATTTTGTCTCTTTCTAGCTTTTCAATAATCTTGCTTCCTGGTGACCATCATTTCAACAGGCACATCAAATCAAAATTAGCCCTCTAATAGTAACTGTAGATGGTTGGTGGAGCATTCTATGGCATCATCTATTAATACCTTAAAAGTATCTTGGATTTCTTGTTAACTCTTTAGACTAATTAATCAATTATGACAAAAACCCTTTTGCTTTTTGATCACGCTCACATGGATAGCTTCTTTTAATCAAAAAAATATATATATATATCCTGCCGATTACTGTTGTTAGTTTTAAATCTTGTATTTTATATTGTATAATATAGATTATTTTATTCAAGGGTCTGGGGGTCTCATAAAGTGCTTTCTTATCGCCTCTGTTCCTTGTAAAAAATAATTTGCAACGACTCAACGCAAAACTGATTACAAAGAAAAACTGTCTGTCAAAACAAAATTAAAAACAGTCTTTTAAAAGGAGAACACAAATACAACTTAAAAGGAACAGATATAAAATGTGATGGAAAGATGTATTTCTAAACAGCCTGAACATTAAATTAAAACCATTTAAAATGTTTCTGTATTTAAAAGACACCTGATAGAGTTGAAGCAAATAACAATGGGTAATGTTGCATCAGTTAATTAGTAAACATTGAGTGTTATTTTGCATATGGGGGGAATGATGTTGAGTTGATTCCAAAAAGGTTAAAAAACAATCCACTGGACTTTGTTTCCAAGTTTGAAGATGTTTTGCTTCCCATCCAGGAAGCTTTTTCAATTCAAAATGAAATTCAAATGAAATAGCGTTATAGCAGAAATAGCAGCAACATCAGAGATGTGCAAAAATGACAGCTGAAATTTATTTAACTAAGGTAAGGTTTCTATCATTACATCTTCTTTTATTTGTTCATGCCGCCCCATGTGGTTGTCATCTTTATTCCTTGACTCCTCTGGATTCTCATGAGTGTAGTCTTTGTTTACTTTAAAATAAAAAAAAGAAAGATAAAATTAAAAAGAAATAGTTTTGAATAGTTCAGTGTTTAGCAGTGGTAAAAATTGCTAAAGGCTGGACCTGTTTGAATCCACAGCCAAAACTCTTCCGGTCTCCTATTTTCAAGGACTTCGAAGGATCCAGTCCAGGTAGACCGGGACCTTAGAAGACACAGCCCATAAATTAGAACACAGCATATCAGAGGTGTCAAGTAATGAAGTACAAATACTTTGTTACTCTACTTAAGTACACTTTTTAGGTATCTATACTTTACTCCATTACTTATTTTTCTTCCTACTTCTGACTTCTACTCATTAGATTTTCACACAAGTATCTGTACTTTCCTTGGATTTTTAAAACAAAGGTCCCTCGTTACTCTTGGCTTCGGTTTAATGTTTATAAATATTTATTTCCCGTCATGTGGGAATCCACTGCAGATCATTGGCTCCATCCACAAAACTGTATAATTGGATGAGTCATAGAACGCAAACACTCATTGGTTAGCTAAAGGAAATCATCAGAAGCAAGCAGGTGTTCTTCAAACTGCAAACTCGAATTGTCTATGCCATGCAACAATGTTGGATTCAGAGAAAGATGTTGAAATGTCTGAAATGTTACACTGGGCAGAGCGTATCGGGAGACGGAGACCAACAAGACCTTCCTCATCCTTGGCCCTATCTCAAAGGATTTAGTCAAAAAATTGAGCTTTCAATTCATATAGTGGCATCTGGCTGTTTTTTTTAAAGGTTACTTATACTTTAAGTCAGGGTTCTTCAACGTTTTCCAGGCCAAGGACCCCCAAACTGATGGTGAGATGGAGCGTAGACCGCCTAATTATATATATGGTGTGAAATTGTGTTATATCAAACTGGTCCTATAGTCACTCTATTACAGACGGAGTAATGTAAGAAAGTAATTTCTCCCTGGGATTATTAAAGTATTTCCGATTCTGATTTCTCATTGATGGGACAGGTGTTGTGAATGAAACGGTGTTGAAAGAGCTCCTGTGTGTTGCTGAATGTGTGCATTGATGACTGAAAGACATCTTCTGCCTCCATTTATCTGTTTACTACAGTGTGTTGAATTCATGTTAATGTGTATTTAAAGACATTTCAATTACTGGAAAATATTGCAGGGGGGAATATAAAAAAAAGTAATCAATGAAAACTTTCGAGACCCCCATGCAGTACCTCCGTGGACCCCCTAGGGGTTGCGGACCCCCTGTTGAAGACCTCCACTTTAAGTAGTTTTTGGAGCACATACTTTTTCACTTTTACTTGAGTAAAGAGGTCAAGTTGATACTTCAACTTTTACCAGTGTTTTTAAACTGCAGTATCTATACTTCTACTTAAAGGGGAACGCCGTTTTTTTTTTTTTTTCATTGGGCCCTTATTTTTACGTTATTACATCATATATATATTACATCACTCATCCGGACTGGAGTTGTGACAGGCAGCCCGGGCCACAGGTGGCTACCCTCTACCTCTTATATATTCGGCTAGCTAATCTGAATCGTTCAATTCCATTTCAAGAGCGAGCTCATCTGTGATAGTAGCACTAGACATCTTCCAGGCATGTGAGTAAAACTAGCAGCAGTTCAGTGGACAGGAAGAATGAATGACAGGCGCGTAGATGACGGCACACACACTCCGCTTTGCTTTTTAAAAATATAAATATAAAAAATATAACCCCGGATATCTTGGGGACAGTGATTTGCCTACATGTTATGAATGCTGGCTTACCATAAATGATAAATTATGAACAGTTTAGTTTGTGCCTTCAAGTCGATCGCCCAAAGGAAGACGTTACTTCGATATAACCTCATGGAATATCTTCAGAACAGCTCCACATGACACAAAACTCATATGGGTGAATAGAACATGATGCAATAACGTAAAATCAAGGGCCTCATGTAAAAAAAACAAAAACAAAAAAAACGGCGTTCCCCTTTAAGTAACAAATGTGTGTTCTTTTGACACCACTGCAGTACATATCTCTCCTTGGGTCAATGGTGTAACTATCAGTAAGCAGAGACTGCAGTTGCTTAGGGGTCCCCGACCTCTTAGGGGCCCCGCCACTGATACCTGGTTGCCCCCCTACACAAATGCGGACTATTACATGTCTTGGCAGATGTAATGGTCCAAAAAACTACTCTAAAACCCACCTGACACTACATTAACCAACCATAAAAACTCAATCTTTTCAATATATTTAAACATAAATACTGCTCTCCGCATCATCATCTGCCATAGTTGTTTTTCTTGCCGCTTCTGAGTAGCAAGACGCAGAATAGTGACCTTTGTCTGAAAGTATTAATGACGTTCAGGTCTGATGAATCCGACCTGGCTGTTCAGACACAGGTCGCATTTAAAAAGATCAGATTCGTATCGGATTCAGGACCACAGCCAAGCGGCCTGGGTCCGATTGGAAAAAATTGTGTGTTGTTCAGACTGCCATGAAAAGATCAGATCCAGGTCGCAAATGGGCAAAAAAATCTGATTTGGGTCCCTTCAGGCTGCAGTGTGAACTTAGTGAAAGTTGTGTTGTTACACCATTGCCTTGGGTTGACCCTCTATGGTCCCCGCACCCCGGTTTGGGAACCCTTTAAACGGAGCTTCCTGTCTCTGCAGCTCCTGGTTTCAGCCTCGGCTGAAGGGGGCGGAGCAGGCGGCGGAGCTGCTCTCTGCTCCCCTCTTCATGTTTGTTTTTTGCTAGGCTGGCATCGCTGTGTGAGGACGGGGGATTGATGGAGGGTGGAGGACTCTCCTGTCCTGGCAAGAAGCTCTCCTGTGGAAGCTGAAACTTTTCCGCCCCTTCTATTAAATTTTCAAAAATTTCAAGAAGACACGCATTTATGACGATGTCTCTTCGATCCTGGCATGAGCCGCTCTGCCATATGGCTGCTAGCTCTCGATTGACTCGTCTTTCCTGACTGACGTGCAGGATGCTGGAGCTCCTCTGAGGGCGCTTTCTCTGGATTTTCCTTCCCCTTTCAGGAAAAAAAAAAGACGAGCGAAGTTCTCCCCCTGTGACGAGATCATTTTCAACTCATCCGTTCACCCCTAAACTTCCAAAAATGGTCTCCCTCGCTTCGGCTCGAAACAAACCGGGATAACGACGAGAGAAGCTAGGAGACGACACCCCTACCGACGACGGCCAGTGTCACTTTCCCCCGCCGGGTAAGGCATCGATTCAGCGGGCAGCCGGGATGCGAAGCCTCGCTGTCTGTTAATGATCCGTGGTTGACAGCGCCGCCGAAAACTAAACTAAAACCTTGTAATTTCCCCCTTTTTTAGCCAAAAAAAACAAAATCCAAAGAGTTTATTGTAAGCTTTTAGTCAAGTTTGAACTGAAATGGCGCTAACATGAAAAGCACCAGCTTCTATAAACTTAAATCTATATTCTTAACTTGTTAGCCACATTAGCCTGTTAGCTAGACTTTATTTATTCAGTTGGCTGGACCTAGCAAGCTCGCTTTCTACTGAAATACATGGTAAACTTTAGATATACATCATTTATTACTTAATGTTAGGTTTTCTTCAGTTGTTTTTACTAATATTGCTCTTATTAACTGTCACGGAGACACTGAAAGCTAAACTTTAACGTTCAGGTTAGCACAGATATTTGTTAATAACAGGAAGTAAGCTTCACTCAAACTTTACTCTCATTCTTTCCTGTAATTTGAACTAAACTTATTGTTTTTCTCTCTTCTACAGAGGCAGCCCTGGCTCTGGATTTATTTTTGTTTTGTTTTAACCGCTGAAATTGATGCATATTGGGGAGTCCATGAGAGAGTGCGAGTACAGTCAGATTAGCACTCGCAGCTCTACGCCGATGGAGACCCCGCACAAGAAGAGGAGCCCAAAGAGGAAGAAATGGGAGGCCTTCCCGGGGCGGAATAAATTTTACTGTGATGGAAGGATTATGATGGCCAAACAGACTGGGGTTTTCTACCTCACACTGGTCCTCATCCTTGTAACCTGTGGGCTGTTTTTCACCTTTGAGTAAGTATTAGTATCACATCTGGGATGCCTGTGGAAGATGACAGCTTGGATTAGGGGGGTTTGAGTCTCGGATGCCAAGTTCCTTGGGGCCCCATAAAACTCTGTTTACATGTATGGTTAATACAACTATTCCTTATTTGTGCACATTATGTTTTTGATGAAAATCCTTTCGCTAAAATGCCATCAGAATGCTTATAATATTAAGTGTCTCAGCCCCCCCTCAGCTCACCACATTGGATCAGTCCATTTGCTCCAGATGTTCAGAAAGGTCTAAACAGACAGCAGCAAAACATTTGAAAACAAACTGTGCGAAGAGCAGTGTTGCCAACTTAGAGCTTTAGTCGCCATATTTAGCTACTTTTCAGACATCTCTAACACTTTTATTTCAAAGCGCCAAATCTAGCAACTTATTTTCTGCTACTGGAGACTTTGGTGACTACATATCAGAAGCAGCGAACTCTGCTCTCCAGATCAAGTAGATTGGTAACCCCGGCTCCTGCTCTCCTGTCTTGTCTGCTGTCATGATTCATGCAGCTATTATTTCATCCAAATGAAAAATGGAGAACAGAGCAGATCATGGCTTGTGTACAGTGAAAAGAAGGACTGTGTCTTTAAATTTTTCTGTCACCTTTTTTGGAAATACATGAAGGATCAGTCGGCTAAGTGAGTTTAGTGCTTGAAAAAAATTCCTTAATTCCTTTGGAGACAGCATGAGAAGTCAGCTGAGTACAAAAAATAGAGAGGAAAAGAACAAGAAAAGGGAAAAAAAGAGAGGGACAAAACGTAGAACTAATGATGTATGTCTATTCTGTTTTATGTGTTGTGTTCTCAATTAAGAGGGCCCCCTGCCTGTCTTTGTCTAGGGCCCTAAATTTCCTAAATCCACCCCTGGTTGCAAACAAATCACTTATCTCAATCGTTTGGGTCTTGAGTGGCTGTATTTCCCCTTATTTGACCAGATTCAGGGAGACATCAAGATTTAGCCTACAAGGTTAAGATGACGGATAAGCATTTGATTTCATAACATGCCTATGGTATATGTTTTTTTTTTCCAAGTTTGTGAAAATGGGGGTGGGCAGCATTAGAATTCAAATGATGTTTACAATCTACTATAAAAGCTAGATTGAAATGTCCTCTAAAACCAGAGGTGTCCAGTAATAAATTACAAATACTTTGTTACCTTATTTAAGTAGAAATTTTGGCTATCTATACTTTATTACTTAATTGAAGTAATTATTTTTAGACAATTTTTTGCTTCAACTCCTTACATTTTAAACAGTTTTTGTTTCATTTAAGCTCATTTTCGTTAAGGCTGGTTGGAATTAAAAAAAGAAAGAAAAACCATTAAAATATATATATATTTATCCAGCCAATCAATTTCTCTGTGGTTGGACTCAGTGCTGCATCAAATACCAAAATAGATAGTTTTTCAAGATGATCAAAAGTTTTAACATTAGTTATAAAACTACGAAAGTATAAGGAAGTTATCATCCAGAATCGTATAAAATTGTTCTTTTAATAGGATAGTGCTGTAAAGAATCTGTCCATAAAGTTTTGCCTGCATTACTTTAACTTTTGTGCTTTTAAGTAGTTTTAAAAATGGTACTTTTACACTTTTACTTGAGTAAAATGCTTCAGTTGATACTATTAGTGTTTTTAAACAGAAGGATTTCTAATTATACTTGAGTAATAAACTTTAATACTTTTGACGCCCCTGTCTGAAACAAAGTAGGGCTGCAACTAACGATTATTTTAAAAATCGATGAATCGGCCGATTATTTTTTCGATTAATCGATGAATCGGACAAAAAAAAAATTATATTAACCTCTTTATTCCAAAATAAACATTTTAGACAGAACAAACAAGCACACAAGTACAGGTTGCTCATTAACTGTACTGGTACAATATGAAAAATAAATGTTTGTGTAAAAACTACGCAAACTTACATGAGAAATGTAGCTGTACATCCACAAAATATAGGCTACTTTGTTTCATAAAGCGCAAAAAGAGACAGGCATTTTTGTTTTTTAAAGCCCCTAAGGGGTTCAAACAATAGGTCCCCCCATTTCAACAAATAAGTTTTTTTTAGACTAGAAGAGTTCTGCCTTTTAAGACAGGAAAGTATAGCAGTTAAAGTTGCTGCTTGAGAAAATACTGAACCATAGAGATAAAAATAGCCCTGTGATTCAAATTATAAATTGTATTTGGAATAAAAATGAGAGAACTAGGGGTGGTAAAAAAACACATCCTCCAAAGACAGATATTTACATGGGAATGTGGCAGATAATTAATTGACATATTACTGATCTTGCTGGATTTTATTCTGCTTTACTTCCATAAATTGCAGGATCTTCTTTTCTTTATTTTTGCCAGAAGATTTAAACTTTAAAAGCCTTGCCCTCATAATTTACAAGTTAATTTATTTATAAAGAAAATATAAACGCTGCTTAAACAAATTTAAATGAAATTAAAAGTAAAATAAGTAGCCAACTTTATGTTGGCATGCGCGCTTCATTTGCAGTCTGGACGCTGAGGGTAAACTCCTCACTAAAATCCTGCGGCTCTGACTGCCGCGCTGAGAGGGATTCCTGTGGGAGAGGGAGAAAGGCGTTGGGATGGGGGAGGCGCCCCACGGCAGGCAAAAGCCGCCAGTGACACCGTAAAAAGTCGCCAGGTTTGTCGCTAGTCGCTTTTTTGAAAAATAGTCGCTGGAGGGGTCTGAAAAGTCGCTGAGTTGGCAACACTGCAACTGCGGCGCTGACTCGCTCCGCCATTTTTTCTTTTTCTTCCCCCGGATGACGGCGGCCGCGGATGACGCATTAATCGCGCGACACAACTAATCGATGATTAAATTCGTTGCCAACGCTTTTAAAAGTCGATTTTTATCGATTCGTTGTTGCAGCCCTAAAACAAAGACTTACGACTTAAGTGTTGTGCAAGTTTGTCCCAAATAACTTTTTTCATGAAAGCTTTTCATAAGCAACCCTTCTTCTTCCGAGGGAATCTGAGGTGAAAAAATCTCAAGGAATGACTGAACTTTGATAAAATAATAACAAAAATAAACCTTTTCTTTGACCATAAGCAGATGAAATCAACTGAGTTTAAATCAGTATGGATCAATTTTGTTGTCATGATTTGAATAAGTCTTTGTTTTTAAATTGTGGACATCTTTGTTTGTTTTTTTGCTAAAGAAGATCCTTCATACTTATTTCATATAAAATAAATGAATCCTTATGGCGGCATATTAAAATGTAACTTTAATTTAGTATTCTGTCAGTACACACTGCTGTGAGTGTTTCTGCTATCAAAGTTTATGAAGAAAGTCCAGCATTTTTTATTTCAGTTTTATCTGCAAACATTTAAGTGTAAGAAACCTAAGAGCTGAACTATTTCATTAATACTAAAAGCAGGGAGGAAATGATTGATTTAAGAAGATATGTGCATTTCCGAAACTCTTTCTATTACGGTATTGTGTGCCAAAGCTGCTTACAGGTGCTGGTCATAAAATTAGAATATCATGAAAAAGTAGATTGATTTCAGTAATTCCATTTAAAAAGTGAAACTTGTATATTATATTCATACATTACATACAAACTCATATATTTCAGATGTTTATTTTGTTTAATTTTGATGATTACAAATGACAACAAATGAAAATCTCAAATTCATCATATCAGAAAATTAGAATATTGTGAAAAGGTTCAAAATTGATGGCCCCTGGTGCCACACTCTAATCAGCTAATTAACTCAAACCACCTGCAAAAGCCTTTAAATGGTCTTTCAGTCTAGTTCTATAGGCTACACAATCATGGGGAAGACTGCTGACTTGACAGTTGTCCAAAAGACGACCATCGACACCTTGCACAAGGAGGGCAAGACACAAAAGGTCATCGCTAAAGAGGCTGGCTGTTCACAGAGCTCAGTGTCCAAGCACATTAATAGAGAGGCGAAGGGAAGGAAAAGATGTGGTCGAAAAAAGTGTACAAGCAAGAGAGATAACCGCACCCTGGAGAGGATTGTGAAACAAAACCCATTCAAAAATGTGGGGGAGATTCACAAAGAGTGGACTGCAGCTGGAGTGAGTGCTTCAAGAACCACCACACACAGACGTATGAAAGACATGGATTTCTGCTGTCGCATTCCTTGTGTCAAGCCACTCTTGAACCACAGACAGCGTCAGAAGCGTCTTGCCTGGGCTAAAGAGAAACAGGACTGGACTGCTGGTGAGTGGTCCAAAGTCATGTTCTCTGATGAAAGTAAATTTTGCATTTTCTTTGGAAATCAAGGTCCCAGAGTCTGGAGGAAAAGAAGAGAGGCACTTCATCCACGTTGCTTGAAGTCCAGTGTAAAGTTTCCACAGTCAGTGATGGTTTGGGGTGCCATGTCATCTGCTGGTGTTGGTCCATTGTGTTTTCTGAGGTCCAGGGTCAACGCAGCCACATACCAGGAAGTTTTAGAGCACTTCATGCTTCCTGCAGCTGACCAACTTTTTGGAGATGCAGATTTCATTTTCCAACAGGACTTGGCACCTGCACACAGTGCCAAAGCTACCAGTACCTGGTTGAAGGACCATGGTATCCCTGTTCTTAATTGGCCAGCAAACTCTCCTGACCTTAACCCCATAGAAAATCTATGGGGTATTGTGAAGAAGAAGATGCAATACACCAGACCCAACAATTCAGAATAGCTAAAAGCCACTATTAGAGCAACCTGAGCTATCATAACACCTGAGCAGTGCCACAGACTGATCGACTCCATGCCACGCCGCATTGCTGCAGTAATACAGGCCAAAGGAGGCCCAACTAAATACTGAGTGCTGTACATGCTCATACTTTTCATGTTCATACTTTTCAGTTGGCCAACATTTCTATAAATCCTTTGTTTTTATTGGTCTTCAGTAATATTCTAATTTTCTGATATGATGAATTTGAGATTTTCATTTGTTGTCATTTGTAATCATCAAAATTAAACAAAATAAACATCTGAAATATATGAGTTTG